TGTTGTCCATCCATTGTTCCATTCTTTCTCCAATTGTCTGCAGCTCATTATTCTCTCTCTTTTTTCACTCCTTATTTTGTTTCCACCATTACAAAGCCAGTCCCTTGCTGGGCCATTTATTCAGCCTGTTTCAGAAGGATGTTCTTGTGTCGGAGAACACGAGTTGTGGTCACCAACCCTTGGGGAGTACCGTAAGAGAGCTACTTCTGAAACTTACCCTCCTTTTTGGAACTGCAAGGGTCTAACAACTCAAAACTCTCTTTCGACTCTCTCGTGGTGTTACCTCGTTGTGGTGAGAGTTCCCAGTAACCCGTTTGCTATTGCCATCGTACACCCATAAAGTGACATGTAGCAAACAGGTGACGCTCCCTAAACTACCCACTGATCTTTGCCTGAAATCACCATTCGGTTACTTGTCACAGCCATGCTACCTCCAGAAACCAACCCGCCCAACACAGTTGTCTTTCCTAAACACTCATCCCAATGACTAAGGTTTCTCCTTTTTCAGATATGTCACAGTCGTCTGGCCCAAGCGGCTCCAAGCCCAAACCTAATTTTCCTAGGAGCTTTCTCCTAAATTACGGCTAGGCCTTAGAGAATTTGCCCAACGAAAGAATACTCGCTTGCCTTAAAGATCGGAACTGCCAGTGGTTGTCGTGTCCAAACATTGCCATCTCGGAGGTGGTGAGCACCCTAAAAGACAATTGGAAGAACATTCTTCCCTACAAGGGCACCATTTTTACCAACGGGTTCATTCAGCAAATTAAGAACTTTGTCTACCCAATGACTGACCAGCTCAGACGACTCAAGAATAAGGATAGGTTTGTCCAGGATCCATCTGACGCAGACGACATCCTCTATACATAAAAGAACATAAACCACAAACAGGAAATCAGGGAACTATTTGTAGACACCTTTAATGCAACAGGGCCCACCCTGATGATGTCAATTCACACCATGGTTATCAATGGCCTCTTGCACAATCCAGATGTATTTGCCCACCAGCCCGTCAGATCTCTGACAACAGAGGCATTCAAAGCCGACCTCTCACCCAATGATGCAATACCTAATAGATTCCATCCTCATGCACAGGAGCATGGTCCAGCGCACAGGAAACATCTGGGACAGCAGCATGTACATCCACTGCCCTGCCAACCAACAACCTCAACAGCAGCAATCACGATCCCGACAACATCTAGATCACGACGACAGTGAAGGCCCATCAGGAGAATCAGCCGGGCCCTCCGGAAACATAACTGGGCGTCGCCATGTGACAACCATTCTACCAGCAACAGGCAGATACCGACCTTCTCCCTGTGAGGATGACAAAGGCAAAGACTATCCGCCCCGCAAACACCAACGTACGTCAATGCCAGCCAACAGACAACGACGGGGGAACACCTCCACCACCATGGACAACATCAGCGGAATTTCAGCCATTTCCCCAGCACATGATGATGAGGAAGATGAACCACAGGCCACCCCACCCAGGACAAAAAGGCTGCGGGGTGCTGTGGCGAAGAAAATCCCACCCACAAAACTGTCTCAAGGTAAAGCCTTCTGCCAGACCGCCACTGCCAATGCACCGGACGACGACGAGGAGGAGGGGGTGGCAGACAACACGGGAGGAATTGCTGGAAGAACAACCCCAGACGAAATGCAAAAACAAGCAGCCCTTGCCAGGAGTTCCCAATTTCAAAAACAGGCCTCTGCCGCCTATCAACATCAATGATCCCCATGATGATCAAATCAGCATCACACAATGCACCCCGCCACCTCACCACAACAGCGGAAACAGACCAGCTGACACGGTTCTGCACATTTCTCAGAGTAGCAAGGATGAAACGCAGGAGGCAGGGCCCAGTGTGCAAGCACCAAAGAAAAAGAAGAACAAGCATAAAAAAGAGGAAATGGGAGGCCAGCCCCCCCAGCAGAGGAACCCCAGCTGACTCCTTAGCCAGAAAAGAAACACAAGGAAAAGAAAAAAAGCACAAACGCCCCGCAGCATATCTGGCGGATCTGGCACAGAGCGAGGACCACCTCTACGCCAAGTTAGGTGAGACCACCATCAAGTGACAGTCCACCTTACAAACATACTTGCCGGCGGGGCAACTTCTACTGCCATTGACGTTTTTTTTCTACGTTTTCTTCTTGATGAATTACCCCCAGGTAGTGGAAGCTGTATATCTTTGAGCCCAAAATACTTGTACCGCTCGCCAATACGGCAAGCACTTGGAACATTTAGAACATTTTGAAACATTTCAGTTTTTCAAAGGCATCACTCAACATGTGTATCTATTAGGGCAAGGTCATTAAAGTTCTTGTTAACAGTAAAACACATGATAGATAAATAGATAGATAGATAGATATTCTGTTTATTTCACCCACTTGCAGCAATAACTGAATTGTTAGGGAAGGTCATTGTCACATACAATTAACATTTACATACATTCACGGAAATTTATGTTCCAAAGTCATTAATTCTTCTGGTATGACCTTGTTGACGTCTTGGAAGTTGCACCCTTATACTGTAATGAGACTCAATAGCGGCAGGGGAGGGGATAATGTTCTTAAGGGGGGACATTTGGCGTGCAGTAGCCATAAACCGCTTACAAGCTTCTATTCCCGTCACTAAGAGACTCCAGGCCGGCAAGGACCAAGGGCTCCGTATAGTCTACCTGGCCAAATATTATTTTGATAGCTTTCTGCTGTACAGACTCA